GCTCATTGGAGCCTGGACCTCCTGGGCTCACAGGATCCTCCCACCTCAGCCTCCCAAGTAGCTGGGACTACAGGTATGCGCCATCATGCCTGCTTAATTTTTTTTATTTTTTATAGAAATGGGGTCTTGCCATGTTGCCCAGGATGGTCTCCAACTCCTGGAGGCTCAAGTGATCCTCCCATCTTGGCCTCCCAAATTGCTGGGATTACAAGCGTGAGCCACTGTGCCCGGCTACATGCTTCCCTTTTAACAGACCAGAAACTGTGACAAAGTTAGAATCTGCTCTAAGGTGGGCTGCTGTGCATGGCTCAGGCATCTGACGGGCTGCTCTACCACAAAGTGCACACTGCAGATGACAGTGTGGAAATCTATTTTTCATTATACAACTGTCACTTTAAGTACACATAATTCTTTGCTGTGTTTATAGAAGGAGTCAATTTTAATTCCCAAGGAAAAGAGCCATTTGGGATAGTTTTCAGAAGCTTTAGAAAGGCAAGCAATAGAAGGAACATTTCACAAGAGGTATCCTGGTAGTGAATCACAGTTCACAATACTACCTGCACATGCTTCAAGACAAAGTCAATCACTCCTCCAGGATTACTATTGAGTATAGCTCTCATAATCTTGGCCTTACCACTGGAATTGCATTATATAGTAAAGCTAGCAAGATCAGGCCAAAGCCACTTCTCCAAGCCACTTCTCTCATGTATCTCCAAGGGCAGATACATGAACCCCTTGCAGTGTGAATGTAAAAATGCTGGTTAGCGATCTAAATCCAAAAAACCTATAGTCCCACACTTGTAACTTTTGGTTATTGCCAAACTTTATATTTAAGACAATGTCATTGTTCTCATAAAACCCATTAAGTCTACAAGTCTTCTTGCCCTGAGTAGAAAAAGAAGCCCCTACTTACTTCTTGACCAAAGGAGCCGTAAGATCTGTAAATGTCACAGGTACATGAACACTCTAAACTGAGAATAATGCTAGAGTATATATGAGACCGCTTATAAGATCCCTGCATAAAATATGGTCCAGTACAAGAGGAGGAGGTAGGTGGGAAAGATTTTATAAAATGTTTAAGCTGATTTTCTGCAACCATATTACCCCATGTATTTAAAATCAACTGTTCTGAAAATATCAACAAGGCAAAGACAAAAGTCTATAAAAAGTCTGTCAGTCTAGAGAGAACTTCCAAATCACAGGGCAACATTTCAAATACTACTGTAGCTTCGTTATTTTGCTGGCCCTTGAATTCCGTAGGCCAAAGGTATTTGGAAGAGGCAGGTCTAGCAAATGAAGTGACTATCTATCACATGATCAGTACAACAAGTATCTCAACTATACTATGCAGCTGACAGCTCAGAACTTGTAATGTGTTTTAAAGAAAGGTGCTGGCTGGGCGCCGTGGCTCAAGCCTGTAATCCCAGCACTGTGGGAGGCCAAGGCAGGTGGATCAGGAGTTCAAGACCAGCCGGCCAATATGGTGAAACTCCATCTCTACTAAAAAAATACAAAAAATTAGCCGGGCGTGGTGGCGGGTGCCTGTAATCCCAGCTACTCCGGGGGCGAGGCAGAGAACTGCTTGAACCTGGGAGGCGGAGGTTGCAGTGAGTCGAGATTGTGCCACTGTACTCCAGCCTGGGCGATAGTGCGAGACTCCATCTCAAAAAAATAAAAAAATAAAAAAAATAAAGGAAGGTGCTTGAAATACACCTGATAGAGGTCCCTTTTCTTCTGAACATTTGTTTAGGCCTCTCAAAAGGGGCATCATTTTCATGAAAAGTCCATTTATGTGAACTTGTGGACAACAGCCCTGGGGTTTTCTATTACAAACCAGTTGATGACTGTTACTGTGTTCTGAAGAATTTCCTTTTTGAAAAAAGAAAATCCAACCCTAGGCCTTTCTGCACTTACTCAAATATGGGCCTGATAATTTAAGTTTTAAAGCGCTCTGACATCCATCACTGCATTTCCTATGAGGTGTTATTCTACGCAGGAGAGAAAACTGAAGTCCAACTAGCATATTTGGCAGAGTCTGCTTCTTCTAGGCTTTTCTTTTTGCCAAAGATCTAGCAGCACAGATTCATTTGCTCCAAAGAAAGGTGGCTTCCCAAAAGGTACTCAGAGCCAGTGTAAATTGCAAAGTACAGAGGATGCTTTTTCTCCCAGAAATGGAAAACAACATTTCACAAACTGATATTCTGAAAAAGCATTCAAGAATTTAATCATGACCCTTTGGCCTGAAATGCTGCAGTGATATTTTTATGACCCAAGAATTCCTAAGCTATTGCTGCTGTCCAGAGCACCCACTCTCTAACTGGCTTAAAATGTGTGAAATGACGTAATGCTTAAATATTTCCTAAGATGCATCTCAGAAGTGACCTCATGCATATGCATGATCACCAGTGATGGATTGAAAACAGATTAATTCTGCTCCACAGCTAAGCATGAAAACATTAAAAAAATGTCTGTAGTTCATATTCCAGATGCGGACTCCTTCCCCTCCCGAAACTGCATCTGTGACATTTTTTTCATTCCCGATGACATAGTTATGATATTATACTCCATAGTGAAGTTCTTAGAATTAGCTTTCTTTCAGAAAATGGGTACATACCCTGTACATTTCTATCAGTCATTTAATTGGACTAGAAAAGTGACAGTATTTCTGTCACTTTTTAAGAGGACTCTTTGTTTTTTCCTCTCTTAAGCCATGAGAATTAGTCTAGTCCATATACTATTCTAAATATTCCATCTATCTGCCCCAAACCACTGCTTACTTTGGCTGCTTCAAATAACACTGTATTATATAAGAAAGGCAGAAAACAGAACTACCACTGCTTTCTTTGCCTACAAAGAGGAAAGAAATACTGGACGTCATTCTACCTTCATGATGTTTTTCCGAATTAAAAAAAAAAATACTGAGACGGGGTGTGGTAGCTCACTCCTTTAATCCCAGCACTTTGGGAGGCCGAGATGGGTGATTGCTTGAGCCCAGGAGTTCAAGACCAGCTTGAGCAACATGGCAAGACCGCATCTCTACAAAAAATACAAAAATTAGCTGGGTATGGTGGTGTGTACCTGTAGTCCCAGCTATTCCAGAGGCTGAAGTGGGAGGATCACCTGTAGCTGGGAGGTCAAGGCTGCCGTGAACCATGATTGTGCCACTGCACTCCAGCCTGGGCGACAGAGTGAGACCTTCTCTTTAAAACAAACAAAACAAAACAAAACAAAACAAAACAAAACACACACACACACACACACACAAATAGGCTGGGCGCAGTGGCTCATGCCTATAATCCCTGGACTTTGGGAGGCCGAGGCAGGTGGATCACCTGAGGTCAGGAGTTTGAGACCATCCTGGCCAACATGGTGAAACCCAGCCTCTACTAAAAATACAAAAAATTAGCTGGGCATGATGGTGGGCACCTATAATCCCAGCTACTCGGGAGGCTGAGGCAGGTGGATCACCTGAGGTTAGGAGTTTGAGACCATCCTGGCCAACATGGTGAAACCCAGCCTCTACTAAAAATACAAAAAATTAGCTAGGCGTGATGGTGGGCACCTATAATCCCAGCTACTCGGGAGGCTGAGGCAGGAGATTTACTTGGACCCGGGAGGTGGAGGGTGCAGTGAGCCGAGACCACGCCATTGCACTCCAGCCTGGGCAAGAAGAACGAAACTCCTTCTCAAAAACAAACAAACAAACAAAAAAACAGAAACAAAAACAAAAACAGAAAAACCCTGAAATTAAAATAATACTTATTTAGTTTCATAATCACATCAACCTATGTGAATTTTGTCTGTGTATAATTTTTTTCCCCCAGAATTCAGCTTTTAAGGGATTTTAGCTTTTGAGAAAAATTAGAAAGGATGAAAAATGTCATGAAGAGCTTGAAAGGATTATCAGCGTCCCATCGTTGTCTGCTACACGTTTTATTACCTCCACCTCACTAAAACCTATAAGCTGCCTCTTAGCTTGAAGACCCAAAAGCACAAGCATCAAGAATTTCTGACAGTTTCATTCAATTTCACATCATTTAACTGCCTGTTGCCTACATGTTAAAGACCGTGCTGAGTTATTTTATAGCCTTATTTCATCCTATCATTATTTTATATGAGGGAAAACTGAAGACATTGAGAGGAGCTTCCCTGGAATGCAAGCGCTGCTCCTGTCTTTATACGCCACCCTCCATTTATTCCTCTGAACGTGCTAAATTTCCATCATACCCTTTTAGGAAACCTTAATCCAAGTTTCCTAACTACCTTAGAGTTGTTACTTGTTACACCAATTATATCATATCAAATATGGAATGCTATTATTTGAGTACTTCCTAGGACAGTGTGCTATTTTAATGGCAATACTAAATAACAATATTTTACTTAATTTTTAATTAAAAGGTCTCCGATCGCCATATGGTTTGCCAATAAAGACCTAACACAATTAGCAAGGACAAAAGCAAGCAAAGCCTATCTTAGTGATAAGTACTGTGTTCTTAAAAAATAAAAAAGGAAAACACTCAAAACGTGTCCATTTACCTGCATAGAGCCTCAATGGCATCTCTGTCCAAAAAATCATGCTCCCTCTTGACCAAGGAAATATCGATGGGGAACAGGAAATCTATAAGAAAAATAAACAAATGTATTCGTTGAGCACCTATAACCCAATTTGCCAAATAGCCCAGTTTACCAAAGCGGGGAAGAAACTCTTCAGCAATGTACTGAGCACCTCCTGTAGGACGCCTCATTCCCCATCAAGGTCTATGGGACAATAAGGCAATTCAAGCCAATCCTGCGTCACTGTCCTAAAGGAGCTTCAGCTTTAAAGTGGTAGAAACTCAAAAAATATTGCTTCTGGTCAAGGAGAAGTGGCTCAGGACATTGTTATACCTTTAAACAAAGCAGCAGGCAATAAGCCTCCAGTATAAATGATAATTTAAGCCACAGTGACTGTCAGAAGAATGCTGCCTTTTAATGTGGCTGGGCCGTGTGTATGTGTGTGTGTCTTTGCTCACGTGTGATCAGGGAAAAGGTCATGGAAGAAAAATTGAGCCACAGAAAGACCTAGAGAACAATGAAAAGTGGTAGGAAATGGAATGTAATCCACTCACATGGCATCAAGAGCCAAGGAGAATTCAAGATACGCTTTTTTAAAAACAAATATTAGCACTGCAATATGGCCTTGTAGGAACTGATATAACTCCCCGAAAAAGAAAGGGCTAGCTTTAAAGTTGCTATCGAACAACAGAATCTCAAATCCTTTAATCTGTTGAAGAGTTCATTCAGTTCTCTCAAGACAATGAAGAAGCTGTATCAGAACTGCAAACCACAGAGGGAGAAAACAGTCAACTCAATGGAGGAATTCCTTTCTCTGGACTGCCTAAAAAGATCGCTTGGTAAGTAAATATACCCAAGAAAAGCAGAGTGGAGGTAGCCACTGTGGAAATTTACAACAGCTCTAAAATTGCCACTGGATAAAGGCAAGTTATCACCCTCTTGGAGTTCCAGCTATGAGGGCAACTCATGGGCCTCCTCAGTAGAATGCTACTACAGTACCAGGAGGAGGAGTGTCTCAGTGTGGGGCAACTCTTTGGACCAGACCTGGGTGAAATCAGTCATCACAGCAGGAAACTAGAATCACCACAAGCTAAAAAATTCTCTTTGGCTGGGCACTGCGGCTCGCATCTCTAATCCCAGCACTTTGGGAGGCCAAGGAGAGAAGATCATTTGCACTCAGGAGTGTGAGACCAGCCTGGGCAGCATGGCGAGACACTGTCTCTACAAAAAAAAATTTAAAAAATTTTTATTGGGCATAGTGGCACGCGCCTGTGGTCTCAGCTACACGGGATGCTGAGGTGGAAGATCACCTGAGCCCCGGAGTTTGAGGCTGCAGTGAACTCTCACTACACCATTGCACTTCAGCCTGGATGACAGAGTGAGACTCTGTCTGAAAAAAATAAATAAAAAATAAAACATCCCTTTGGCCTTCAAAATGGCTAATGCCACATAGTGGAATAAACATGGCTGTCAGTAGTTTTGGAGATACAGGTAATTAGTCCTGTTCCAGCTCTTGTGGGCACATAACTGTTCACTATGTTTTTATTATTTCTTATGATCACTGGTTTTATGGAATGATATGGAATTCCTTATTCTTAGTAATCTATTTTCTAGAGATAATATATCAGAATGAGTATAAACTTATAGTCTATCCTTTTTCTTTTCTGAAGGCTGGAGTTGGATTACTGACATTGTTCCCTAAATGATAATATAGGCAGACCAAGGAAGTGGCTATAGTCCAAAGATTTATGAATATATAAAATTTAGTATCACAGAATTACATTTCTTCACTAATTTATAGACCAAGTCTCTCTTAGACAAATGATTAGTGGAACCATTATAATGGAAAAAGAAAAACTTACAGTCAATGCAAACTAGAGCATTAGTAAATGAAGCAAGACAGGTTGTAACACTGTTTGAAGGTTGTGACACTGTATTTTGCTTTTTTTGTTTGTTTGTTTCTAAATTTTTAAAATAGAGATGCAGTCTCACTATGTTGGCCAGGTTGGCCTTGAACTCCTGGCCTCAAGCGATCCTCCCACCTCAGCCTCCCAAAGTGCTGGGATGACAGGCATGAGCCACCATTCCTGGCCTGTATTTCACTGTGAATACACACCAAGATGAACTAACAGAGCTAATATTAAGGAATACTTTTTAATATTTACACAGTATAACATCAGATCTATAAATATAAATTGAAATTTTCACATGCCTCTTACCTATATGTGAGAAAGTAACTATATTATTTTAGGAATTTCTAAGTTAGTATACCCAGAGCCATATTTCAGATTCCTTTTCTAATGCAAATTAACAATTTTTAAAAAATCTGGTAGGTATTAAACGCAAGTGAGGAGTGAAAGAATTAAATCAGTAACTTTCTTTTATTTGCCTGGACTCGCTTTTAAAAGATGATAGTTTACTGATGTACAGAAGACGTTCTCTGAACTCAGCTTCCACTGTGGGTTGAAAAGCAGGAAGTATAAATTGCCAAGTACCCAAATCAAGCTAAACAGGGGAATATGTGTGGGTTGGTATGGCATGTATGGTTTATGTACTCACCCAGCACACAGTGGCAGGAAAAACGGGTAGGCGACGGCCCAGAACAATATGCAGCATACCCCAAAAGTAGGCTTATGCTTCAAAAGACTTGCGAACATGAGGGAACCCCAAATGTAACCTGTGCAAATGCACCCTGTGCTTTAGGATTAGGAAAGAAGTGACACAGGGACTGGAATTGGCTCTTAGCAAACATATATATCACAAGAAAGTGCTACCTGGCAGCAAATCAATGCAAAAAATGAGCATAATTGAAGAAAACTTAATTTCTAAATAGGAGAACAAAAGGATAGCTGCTTTGGTGTCACTGCCAATGCAGTTATCTTTCCTTATATCCATCAGAGCTATGAACTGAAAATCCAATAGAATGCTGGTCCCCCTTCCCCCAAAGCCCTTTTAAATGTTAACAGGTTAAAACTTCTCTCTAAAGGAAAGACAAGCAACTCCACCAAAATAAGTATGCAAGTTAATCAGAAGAAATTGTTTGGAAATATTCTCTGGAATGAAGAAACAGTAAGATATTTTACACAGTCTAATAATAAAACAATTCAGAATCCATCTTCTTGGAAAAAAATATCGTACAATCAATCTAGGCTACATAAGGAAGACCAGGTATTCTAACTTGGGAATCACTTTACTCTTCACCCAACCTTTGTTTGAAAGTTACCCATAAAATGGAATGCATTAGTTCATAGCTGTAATTATTTTAAACTGACTTCATATAGAGAATAATGAAACTCCCAATTAAATGAACAGCCTAGGCCAGGTGTAGTAGCTCATGTCTGTAATCCCAGCACTTTGGGAGGCCAAGGTGAGTGGATCACCTGAGGTCAGGAGTTCAAGACCAGCTTGGCCAAGATGGTAAAACCCCGGCTCTACTAAAAACACAAAAATTAGCCAGGCATGGTGGCACACACCTGTTACCCCAGCTACTCAGGTGGTTGAGGCAGGTGAATGGCTTGAACCCAGGAGGCAGAGGTTGCAGTGAGCCAAGATCGCACCACTGCACTCCAGCCAAAGCGACAGAGCAAGACTCTGTCTCAAAACAAACAAATAAATAAAGGAACAGCCTATTTATCTTGACATGCATGGAGCGTGAGCACTCCCCACGGTACGCAGAAGCTGAGAGAATGATCTCAGTATCCGAGAAATCCCCAGGACACTGCTAAGAAAATGAGATGGTAAGAATTCAGCCCAGATCCTATTTTTTTTTTAAACCATTTTTCTCAATTGAAAAACTGAATGCCACAGAAAACATAATATTCATTAAAAGACAACCTAGAGAAAAGTGAGATGGCTAATTACAAATGCTGGGAAAGGTATCTGCAACACATGACCAGTGAAAGATTAGCATTTAGAATAAAAAGAGCTCTTATAAATCACTCAGAGAAGCATAATGTGAGCAAACAAGTGTGGCCAAGTGACACGAATAAATGCTTCTTACCATTAAGGATTAGGGAAATGGCAGTCAGAACCTGTATATCATTTTATATCCATTTGGTTGGCAAAAATTAAAGTTTGACAATGTCAAGCGTTGAGGAAATGTGGATACATAGATTGGTAAGAGTGAAAATTGGTACACGCACTTTCGAAAAACTTGCATTGTAAAATTGAACATACATATTCTTCATTACCTAGTAATTCTGTTCCTAGGCATAGAAGTGAGACGAATTATTATGCATGTACCACAAAAGATAGATGCAAGAATGTTCACAACAGCACAGTTTATAAAAGCAAAACAGAGAAAGTCAAAATACCCGCCAACCAGAGTGTGGATATGAATAAACTGTGGTTTCTTGTGTAATACACAATGGTGTATTACACAGCAGCCAAAGCAAATGAGTAACAGGCCATACAGTACAGAAGAATCTTAACAATACAATATTAAGTGAAAAATAAAAACCCCACGAGATTACATACAGCACAGTACCCTCTTTATAAAGGTAAAAATAACTCTGTAAAAATGTACTTTTCAGGAAATGCAATAGAATTATATAAAAAGAAAGGAAGAAAATGATAGTCTTCAGGATGCTGATTACTTTAGGCAGGAAGTGGCAGGTGGCAGACGGGGGAGTGGCAGGCGGCAGACGGGGGAGTGGCATGGGCCTGTTGTCATCAAGGTGCTAGCTTTTGTTTTCAGTGGTGGGGGTCTTGCATGCTTACTACATTTTTTTTTTTTAATAAAACATTTAAACTATAAAACTGCTGAAAATAAGTCACAGATCAGTCATATTCACGAATAAGGGATTATGATTATGCCAACTTTTAAAAAATGGCATTCCCAGCTTACCTTCATAAAGCTGTGCATACTGGGGGAAACCAGTTGCCCGTAGCCAGTCACAAGCTTCCTTGGCTTCAATTTCTAGAAGAGAATTAGAAGAAAAATAAAATTAGCCGTGTGTGCCTCAGCATGCTTATTTTCCCTGAATAAGCTTTGATTTTATGATACAAGCAAAACACGACTACCGTAGAAAATACGGAGAAGCAAACAGACATACACGTTTAATTCAAATGGTTTACATTTTGTATGCGTCTTTTCCGATTTTTTCACACGTACATGAGGATGTATTTTTCCTTTACGAAAAACAAAAATGGGGTCCTGGGAGCAAGTTACTCATTTTGTGCTGCTTCTGAAGTGCTCTGATTACAAATGGTTATGAAAATAAGGCATCATGAGAAAGTTGAAGAGAGATTAAATAACTCATTTTAAGCCTGGCCAGCCTATTGTACTACTTTTCACTTCAACAAAAGGCCGCAAAGTACCTCCACCAACACGCTAAAATAAAATTTATCTGAGTACAGTCACAGGCTTTCTGACACCCAGGGGTTGGGTGTTTCAAAAGCCCCTGACTTTGTGTTGTCTCACTGTCGAGTGCTCAGGTACTCAACGGGTATTAATCCAGTAGGAGAGGCCCAGGCTGTCAAGGAACATGGAGGGTACGAAGTCAGTAAATCCCACAATCTTGGCAGGCAGAAATGGCTAATAAAGCTTCTACCTCCCTGTGGTTTAACATCTTGTAGATAGTATCGATAAACAGAAAGGCCAAGAGCAACTGACACACTGTGTTAAAACTCATTGGAGCACATATTTACAATCCTGTTAAAGCTGACTCACTGAGGAGGTCCTGGGAACATTAGTTGGCGTCTCTGCTTGTACAAAGAATATTCCTTTCAACTCTTCCTCCCACCTTCCTCAGGCCATAAGAGTACTCAGTTACACAAGTCTATTCACTTATTTACAAAGCTCTCAGCATTGCATAATTAATGCCACATTCAAATCTTCATTAAGCATCTCTCTTAACCAAGTGGGAGACTAATAGTTCATATTAGAAATGTACACATCTTATTTTTGTCCAGTAACTTTATGTTTCCAAAGCACTTTTTCACCTATTACTTCATGAGTTCCTTGGCCTTTGAAGAAAGGTAATTAAGAAAATCCAAATTCATTAAAGCAAGTGGGAATTTACTCACTGAACACAGGAAAGAGAGAGAAAAAAACAACAAAACCTGCCATCTCCTGATGAGTTCCTTAATACCCAAACTAAAAACAATTATGGCAGTAGCCTGGAAATAAATAGCATGGCAAAGTGAACTTCATTAATCTTTTCAGTGTAGCAGTGAAAGTAGCATTATTCAACCCAAGACTTAGGATTGAATTGGGAGCGAACGATAGAGTGACATCAGTGTGGAAGAACTTCAATGTCTGCACTGAATAGAAGTGTAGAATTGTCCAAAGTGAATCATTTGAGCTTACCTTTTTTCATATGTGTATATCCACATTTTGTCTCAGTAAGGAAATAAAGATGTTTTAAATAAAATTATAAAATAAACACTTCCCAGAAAACGATATTGCTGGAAAAACATATACAAGCTCAACATTTTATTTTAAAACATAAGGAAATTAGACTGGGTGTGGTGGCTCACGACTATAATCCCTGCATTTGAAAGGCTGAGGTGGGAGGATCATTTGAGCCCAGAAGTTCAAGACCAGCCTGGGCAACATGGCGAAACTCTGTCTCTACCAAAGAAAAAAATTACAAAAATTAGTCAGGGGTGGTGGTGCCCTCCCGTAGTCCCAGCTACTCTGGAGGCTGAGGTGGGAAGATTGCTTGAGCTTGGAAGGCTGAGGCTGCAGTGAGCCTCAGTGGTACCACTACACTCCAGCCTGGGCAAGAGAGTAAGACTCTGTAACCAAAAGAAAAAAAAAAAAAGAATGAAGACATTACTTTTGCCCTATCTGTGTGCCCGCCCCCTCCTACAAAAGATAGATATGGAAAGAAAAAAGGCTGTTTATCTTTAAAACTATTTTAAAAACACATTTCATTTGGCTACTTAGAGGTTATTTTCACTGAACAGATTGTTAGACATTGAACAATAGATTGTTAAAAAGTAAATGTGCTTGCTTTCTTAATATTTAACTTAATAAGTGGTGAGTAACCAAAAATTCTCAATGTCTGCCCTTTTTTGACGAGAGAGACACGGCACTAGGTCAGCACACATACAAAAGCCTTAATTAGATACCAATTCACTAGCCAATACTGCCAAAGCATGAGCCTGCTTTACTTAGAAAAATAGTTTCATGCCAAGAGGCATGGAAGATGTAAGATATTAGTTTTTTAAACAATCCAACTTTACAAAGTATTTATTTAAGCTCCTATGTGATTTGAGGAACACAAAAATGCATATTCCTGTCTTGTTCTTTTTTTTTTTTTTTTTTTTGAGAAGAGTCCCCTCTGTTGCCAGGCTGGAGTGCAGTGGTGCAATCTCGGCTCACTGCAAGCTCTGCCTCCCGGGTTCACTCCATTCTCCTGCCTCAGCCTCCCGAGTAGCTGGGACTACAGGCGCCCGCCACCACGCCCGGCTAATTTTTTGTATTTTTAGTAGAGACGAGGTTTCACCATGTTAGCCGGGATGCTCTCGATCTCCTGACGTCGTGATCCGCCTGCCTCGGCCTCCCAAAGTGCTGGGATTACAGGCGTGAGCCACCGCACCTGGCCTTTTTTTTGAGACAGAGTCTTGCTCAGTAGTCTAAAGTGCAGTGGTGCGATCACTGCTCACTGCAGCCTCGACCTTCCGGGCTCAAATGATCCTCCCATGTCAGCCTCCCAAGTAGCTGAGATAAGAGGCATGAGCCACTGTGCCTGGCTATCTCTCTTACTTTCTACTGGCCCTGTCTAAGAAATAAAATGACTCCAAATGGTCATAAATTGATCAGAAAAGCTGTGTCAAAATAGTCACTCTTAGGGCCACTTAGTTAGAAAGAATGTAAACAGGCGAACGTTTGCTTCTTCAGCAGATAATTTAATTAACAGTTTATACAACGGCTAAAAAGCAGTACTCCCCAAATGGCAGAGATCTAGTCATCTTATCCTTTCTTGTCTTCACCCTAAAAAAATGAGAATTTGTCTTTCCTTTTGATGTGAAACCATGGGAAATAGACAAGCATATGACCATTTTACCAACACAAAAAGTCCACTCATGAAAACTTAGGCTGCATTCCAATGAGACCCTAACCCACTGTTTTTGTAGAAATCAGAATTAGAAAACTGTAAAAAGTTGTCACATATTTTTTAGAAAATGGAATACTTGTTGACCTCACTCCTACACTTTCCAATTCATGGGTCAAGAGAAAGTACTAACAATCCAATGTACGTACTGATTTTAAAAAATCAGTTATTTTTGTTTTATTTAATGTGAAATGAACCTATATCCACATGCGAGTCACAGAGTTTCATTCCCCGATTCATGCCATTACTTTTGCTCTAATCTCCTAACTCTTAAGAAAACTCTGGGTCTGTAGACTCCCCTCTCTGAAGAGAATCTGTCCCCCAATCGTGACTCGTCAAACTTTCTGAGTGACAGCATTAATCTTCTCTCTCCTTCGCAAACTTCGCTGGAGCTGCATGCCTAAAGAATCAGGTCCTGGCTCTGTGCAGTGGCTCACGCCTGTAGTCTTAGCACTTTGGGAGGCAGAGTTGGGTGGACTGTGTTGCGCCCAGGAGTTCAAGACAAGCCTGAACAACATAGGGAGACCCCATCTCTACATAAAATACAAAAATTAGCCAGGCATGGTGGCGCACACCTGTCGTCCCAGCTACTTGAGGGGTTGAGGTGGAAGGACCACTTGAGCCCAGGAGGTCGAGGCTGCAGTGAGCCGTGACCACACTACTGCATTTCAACGTGAGCAACAGGGCAAGACCCTATATATTTAAAAAAAAAAAAAAAAAAAAAAAAAAAAAAAGGTCTAAACACCCCGGCAAGGTTTTCAAGGCTCTCCACTTGGCCAACCTAATTGTTCAGCTCCCTGAAGCCGAGCATTCTAGCTAAAGTAAATTTGGTGCTCATCTCCACACACACTGTACTTCAGTGAATTCTCTGGCCTGAAATGCTCAAGATGAAATTTCACTCATCCTTCAAGATCCCAACCAAATGCTACCTCCTCCATGCAGTCTTCCCATTTGCCTCTCAACAGTTCTATCAACGCGTCATTTTACTGAGTGCTTAATATGCATAAGGCCCTGTCTAAGCACTAGTGCGTATGAGTTCATTTACACCTCATATTGATCCTAAAATGTGGATTACTAATATCTCTGAGATAAACACATGAGGAAACAGACAGAGAAGTAACCACCTCTCCTTAAAAATGAGCTTTCTGAGGCCAAGCGAAGTGGTTCACGCCTATAATCCCAGCATTCTGGGAGGTCTAGGTAGGAGTATCATTTGAGGCCAGGAGTTCAAGACCAGTCTGGGCAATAATTGCGAGACTTCATCTCTACAAAAAATGTAAAAAGGAAAAAGAGTTCCTTCCTGTATTCCCAGCTACTCAGGAGGCTGAGGTGGGAGGATTGCTTGGGCCCAGGACTTCAAAACCAGCCTGGACAATACAGTGAGACTCTATCTCAAAAAAAAAAAAAAAACTTATAAAAAAATTTTAAAAAATGAGATTTCTACATTCAAATGCCATAGTGAGAGAAGTAACAATTACTTACAGAAATGCAAGGTTCTTCCTGCAAGACAGGTTCTTCCCTTTAAAAATATTGTATATAACAGCCTGAGCGTGGTGGCTCACACTTGTAATCCCAGCACTTTGGGAGGCCAAGGCGGGCAGATCACCTGAACTCAGGAGTTCGAGACCTGCCTGGCCAACATGGTGAAACCCCGTCTCTACTAAAAATACAAAAATTAGCCGGGCGTGGTGGCAAGTGCCTGTAGTCGCAGCTACGCAGGAGGCTGAGGCAGGAGAATTGCTTGAACCTAGGAGGCGGAGGTTGCAGTGAGCTGAGATTGGGTCACTGCACTCCAACCTGGGTCACAAAATGAGACTCCATCTCAAAAAAAAAAAAAAAAAACCATACATATATA